TCTCACAGTGCGGGGGTCTTCTCTGAGTCACGCTTTGAAGTGGGCATTAAAACGGGCCCTGTCCGATAGGGTTTAACTCCATAGCTCAAACCTGCGAGAAGAGAAAAGAACATAAACAGCTCCCACTACAACCAGTATATTCGGTATGTTGTCACAATTTCAATTGTAATCATAACCATTACAATTTCCTTAATTGTGATTGATGCATCAGCTGCTTTATTTTTCAGTGACTGTTCTGTAGAGGATATTCATGTTTCGAGAAGAACTTTACATTCTTAAGTTTGGTGTTTTATCTCATTTAGATCGCGGCCAGGAAATAACTTGATGACCACGGGCTATCCAGGACTTTCTATTTCAAGATTGTTGTTTTTATTGTAAAAGCAACAAAACATTACGACATCAACATCAACCTCCGGTCATGTATTACTTCCCATGATCTAATCGCTTGTAGAGGACTTAATAAGAAATTGAACGGTCACTCATTTAACACTATAGGATCTAAGATTTTGTGTTGGAGAATCACTTTCTCCTGATAGCGTTTCTCTCCACAACGGTGCAGATGTCGGCCACGGTACAGTGGATTAGCAAATTGTTAAATACGGCAGATCTAATACTATAACTCGGCAGACATAGATAATTTCTGATGACTGACATGCTCAGTTTGTGTTAGATAACAAAGCGTTTGAAACATTTCACCATGCCAAAGCCTCAATTTACCAAACACGAATCGCTTCGAATGATTGAAAGACTCAATAAACAACTTATGTTTAAGTTTATTCGACGATCGAATCACTACCCAAACAGATGGAACTGACATGCAGAAATGATGAGTACTATTGAAATAGGTATACAGTCTTCTTTCTAAAATATGGAATATTTACTGTCTTCCATCCACAGATCGCGCAGAATGCTATTGTCTTTCGCAACATGTACTTACAGTACCCAGTTTATCAACGAGCGGAATATCAATTTGCCCGTCTAGAACTAGTCAGCTGTGATTGGTCAACAGATTTAATTTGGGAATACTTGAGTCGCTTTGCAGATTTCAGCTGCTGTCGTTTAAACGGTTGGAAGCGTGAAGTAAATCCCAAGGTGCGATAGAGTTGATGGTAGCGTACTGATTAAAGGCGGGCCGCGTTTTGCCAATTCTCGTGTACAGTGATATTTTTGTTTGACCTAATAGACGACTAACAAACTCCCGTTTGGTAAAAACGTAATCTGAATTATCGAAATAGATGTATGTCGTACAGGCGGTTTAGAACCTGCAATCAGGCGGACCTGTTAATTTCGAGTGCGAAATGCGGTGACAGGGGACTCGAACTCTCACGTTATAAATAGTGGTGCTCAATCAGCGAGTTACCTATGATGAAGTGAATTTTTTTTGCGCTAATTTACTCTTACGTGAGGCCCCGTAAAGAGAATAAACAACGCGAAAACATGGCTTAATTATTTACGTGAAGACACGTGGTAACCAGCCGAACATTTGCCGGAAGATTTCATCGCCGCCTTCGAGAACAGGTCTGTCCAACCGCTTCGCGCCGATAAATGTAGAAAGAAACTGATGGCATGATCTCAGCGGGCCATGGGGACCAGTCTTTACATTATCATTTATCGCCTGAGGGGGTCGGGGGACTTTGAAAGGAATCACATGGTTAATTTCGTAGAAAAGGTTGTGGTTATTCATCGTGGTGAAAAACGATAAATTGTCTCACGATGTAGTCATGTGTGATGTAGATTGCGACGTTTCGTCTGCATACTGCTAGTCTTCTTCAGGCGATGAGATCGACTGGTCAGAGTTGTTTTTCAACAGCTCTGATTGGTGCATTTCGATCCTTGCTGATCAGTGATTTGCTCCCTCGGCGATGCGCTGTCGCACGGCTCTCCTGTTGTTTTGTCTTTTGGTTGTGGGCATCCACGCTTCTGGAATTTCTATTCCACTATCCCTGTTAATGTTGTTAGGGTGAAGTCTTATGTGAATTGCCTCTTTGACCCTGCGCTTGTAGTTATAAGGGTCACCGTTTCAGAGCATGCCCACAACACCGGACACAAGCCACTCTGAAACGAAGTAAGTAAGTGAGACAAACGAATTATTTTTATAATCACATGGTGTTCAGAGGGAACACAGGGGTACTTGGGGACGCCAAAGAGAAGAGAGTTACAGTAGTCCAAATGTGAAGTCACAAATGCATGAACAAGAGTCTTCGTGGACTCAGGACTGAGGAATTTCCTAATTTGGCGAATTTTATACAAGCCATGAAAAACCTTGCTGCAGATCTTATAAATGTGAATGGACATAGACATATTGGAGTCAAACCAGGAACCCCAGTTTCGAACACTTTCGAGAGGCTGAACGGTAAAATCACCGACGATGATGGAATCAATTGCGATTTTTGATAATTGATGGCTGGAACCAACAACTTAGAACTCAGTTTTCGAATCGTTGATTAACAGGCGGTAATAAATCAACTATGCACGGACATCTGAGATGCAGGCCTCTACAGAAGCTATGGCGTGGTCTTGCGAAGATCTGCCATTAGGTCCAAACGACAGATAAAGTTGTGTATCATCGGCATATCCACGAGCAGAGGGAAGATGGTCAGCTATCACATGATATGGTCGAGATATGTATAATATATATAAAATAGGTCCCATACAGCTGCACATGTAGAAGGCTTACAATTGGAGGGATCTAAGGAAAACAGTTACAGAGACGAAGGGGAAGAGACGTAGAATGGAGGCAAAATTGTCTTAAGTGAACATTTAAGTCACGTACACTTAACATAGCTTATCTAAATTCGAGTTCACAATGTATCATTTGTGTATCAGTGTATCTGAAGTAAGATAAACATGCTTTCATCTCAGGGAGCTATCTACTTCAAAAATACAATTACAGTGATAAAAATCCATAATTAATGAGAAAAAAAATAATTAGGAAAGAAACAAGAAAGAAAGAAAAAGTTAAGCATTGGTAAAGGTCAAAGAGCTAAGTAAATCCTGAGACTGTAAAAAAAAATCGGTGGTCGATGTTATCTTTATCGCTGACTCAATTCATTTTTGATTACCAATTACGTAAGGGAGGGCTTTTATATCATGAAAAGGAGAGTTGTGATGAATTTTAAGGGGAGTATTATAACTTTTTATTCAATTTCCTTTTAGGGGAATATATGGCAAAGTTTGAGTGAGGCTATCAACAATTTTCATTTTGTTTTTCACTTGATGAATCTATCCATCCATCTATCTATCTTTGAAAACAAAAGTTATCCTCAATAGATTCACACGGATAGTGCCTTAATCTCTTTAATTCCTGTGTTTTTCGAGGTAGTCCAGAGAAAAGCGTTTATGAACCAACATTTGCGTATTACGCAAAGCTCTGGAGTAGTGCACCAGGAGCGGTATTCAAGTTAGTTATTGACTGAGCTATAATTTCGCAAATCCTGATGGACCTGCTTACCAGAACATCCCGGGATTAGTATAGTTCAAGAAGGTTGCTGAAGCTAATCCGGGGGATTTTGACTTAAACTAAGTTTCCATTTCTCCATAAAAAAAAATCCATATTTAGGCTAACTTGAGACTTGGTTTCATCTCAGAACAAAACAGAACACCATCAATGCAACCATCTGAAGGTCTTAAAACCAAATACAAAATTCACAGTTCTGTGCAAAAGTATTACTTTTCAATTATCACTTTATTGTAGCGCTTTTTCACTCAGAAAAAAAACACTGTGATGACTTCATATTAGCTTGCGCGAAAGCAATTATCTCTAATCAAGGGAGGCAGGAACTTGAAGACTGTCATCTATGCCAACTTCGCTTGGCGCGATCAACATCTTGCGTTAAGTGAATACTTCTCAGAATTACAGGGATGGTTAAGGCGCACCGAATATGAAAGTGGGCCTATTCTGCTCATCTTCCATGATGGCAATAGCAGTGGGTGGTACAATTAGTTAACCTAAAGGTGGCCCTCCTCTTTTTAGTGACATATTCAATTATGAGATCAGCATTAATGCAATGTGACACTGAACTAATTAGACAGAACAAGAGAACTATTGATATTTCTTTGGCATAGGGTAAAATATAGACTGGACTATTTTTTGGACCATTTTTTGGACCAATTTAAAGGCGGAGGAAGCACGCCATTGGTACTGAGGGAGGGATGGGATGAAGTCTATCAAAAAATCACGGAAATTCCGCGATCTCGTTTGATAAGATCAATGACAAAAGGAAGATAGATAAAGAAGCAACTGATGGTGCACGAGTTGACTCAAAAGGCGCACGCAAACTCAACAGTGGAGGATCATAAACGCAATATTTTCAATAAAAATTAACGTCCAGTGTTTACGTGGCAGTTTCGCTTTCGCATGACAAAAAAAATTAAGAAACGCCGCGGCCTGGCGCTAAAATTTTGACCTACAAAAAATTCAGTCGAAAAACCGATTAAAATAATTCGTACGATCGAGTAAAAGCTCCATTAACCAGTAGCGCTTACTATTACAACCGCCTCCCACCCTTCCCTGCGTAGTGATAGTCCGTCTCTCACCCCTCCCTGAGTAATAACACTCTGCCTCCCGCCCCTCCCTGAGAACTAACGGTCCAAAAAATGGCCCAAAAAATGGTCCAAAAAAATAGTCCAGTCCATATTTTAAGCTATTTACCCTATGCCATATTCTTTCGGATTAAAGTGGAACCTCCTCCAGTCTTTAAAGAATTCTATTACAGTTGAGGCAGTAGAAATAAAAAAGCTATATCCGCTTTATAATTTGCTCGCAATAGTCAGATTCAGTTTAAAACACATAGCTATAAGCTTGACATCAGGTTTTACTTTGTCCCCTTTCTTCTAGTGTCTCGACAAGTTTCAGAACAATAAACTTAGCGATAACTTGACTATGCAGTCAACTATCCTAAATTTACAAAACTTAATGAAAATCAGAGGGAATAAAGGATATCAATTACGCGGTCTTTGAAAACCGAAAGTTTAGCCTTAAGTTACATTAAGTCACAAGCATAAATGAAAAAGAGTTTATAGTCGAAATAATGGGGAAAAAAGAGGAAAGGCTTCCACGTGGAATGAAACCTTTTGCCTTTTAAATTCAGTGCTGACTTGTGACTGGCCCAGGAGTCTTTGCAGCCTTATCCTTTTGGCCCGTTGACGTTTCTGATATCAACTTTACAGGTTGAACGCCACAGCCATTTTTTTCGTCCGACGCTTCTTGAGGTATTTCCTCTGACGAGGAAAAGGCTTCATTTGCTTCAGCTAATAAGGAGAAAAACACAAAGAGGAATATTGAAAAGCGTCAATAAAAAAAATACAATAAAAAACAATCACACTTTTTCTCCCCGTTTCCTGTTTTTCTTTCTGTAATGGCTGAGCGTTCACTTGGTACCTTCTCTACCATAACATATCTCATTATTTCCTTTTATTGAAGTCAAGTGAGGTGCATTGTCAAAACATACTGTCTAAAAGGGGAAAGTAACAAAAGAGAGAGATCTTAAAAAGCCTTCCAAAATGAGACTAAGAGAAAACTTCAAGATGTGCACCTCTTTTTGAAAGTAGCAAAACATTTTTTTGCGGAATTAAGCTGTTTACAAATGATAGGGTAAATCGTCATGCACACCTTTAGGAAAAGGGGTAGAAAGGCGAAGCGTCTTTCAGTTTTCGGTAGAAAAAGTCTAACGAAGGCATCCTGAGAGCAATTTTCAATGAATCTTGCCTAATTTTCTTGAGCAGTGTTGAAAAATAAGGCACAAGGCAAGTACGGACTTTTAATGCTTTTTTACCTTTAAGTTCTGATACGCCGAGGTCTGTTTGTGTTGCTCTACAAATAGAATTAAAAATCTGCCCCTCCATCAATTCACGGACACGGATGCTTTGGGTCGCTTCATTTACCTTAGTGCGGAACTGGTAAATCTGAAACAAACGATGTGAACTTATGGGTCCGATTAACATAATGTTTCTTATGTTACATAAATAAAGTAGCCATAAATAAATACATAAATACAGTTATGTTACATAAATATAGTAGGTTTATCGGTCTTTGAGACACATTCCTCGACTCCACTATGAAACAATAAAAATCTTAATGGTGCTGAGTTTCTTATCAACTGTTGCATAGATTTCTTGCCTGGCGTTGCATGCCTCTTCCATCAAACCTAATATTTCATTAAAAACTGAATAGAAATTTCCAGTGGCTTTAAAAGCAAAATGAAATTCTGTTTCGAAAGGACCATACCGGAATCAACCCAGGAAACATTGCGTGGAGGTTTTGGACATGGCGTTTTTTACTTTACAATACCTTTCGTCAAGCAAGAGTGCTAAGATGGACTGGCGAATGGCAGGAGGGAATAAAGATCCATTTCAACTGAATAGTTTACCAGTGCATTTGCTTTATGTCGACGCTTTGATGTATCTAACATGAGCAAAATCAAGTCAATTCTAGAATCCTCATAGTCAAGGGTGTTCATGGTAGGGTTTAATTTGGAACGTTCAAGATTCTTACCTTGGGCACAAACACCAGAAGCAAAGTGACAGATGTACTCATGATAAGGCATATTGATAAAATGGCATATGGAGCCTCGTGGTGCACAGATCCTTGAAAAGCCAGAGACACAGACGCACCAATAATGGACAAAACGAACACGTTATAAACTGACATCCCGATGTACTTGGAGTCGTTCAGAGCAGGAATAGCAACATTGCGTGTCTCCCAGGCAAGAAAAATACCAAATAACAATAACAAGCCTTTATAGGTAAACACGAACGCAAGGAAATACGTCTTGTATCTGCAAGTACATTGATACAACGCTGGGATAGTAACAATGTGGTTTTCCAGGCTGGCCTGAATAAATAATCAAATAATGAAATTAATTAAGAAAATTAACTAAAATAGTTTCCCAATGAATCAAGAGTAATGTTTAATAAAAATCGCCACCTTCCATTTGTGAAACCGGTACGTCCCGACTCAGATTTGGAAAATCATCCCTATGCAATCGAAATATTCTGATAAGACCACCTTGCAAAGAATTAAGTATTCATTGTAGAGTGGTGCCAATGAAGACAGTTTTCATTTCAGGAAATACGTAAAAGCTTTGGCTGTTATGCAAGGCGGCCACTATTATGATCTTGAAAAAAGAATGCCGGGTTGGGAAAATTTTTTTACTAAGGGTACCCTTGGATGAATCCTATTAGGAACATACCCACCGTGTTGGTCGTTTTAATTTGTTAACATTGTTAAAGTTTCAATACCTTGTTCATGTATGAAACAGAACAGATTTGAACCAGTCTTTTAAATTGCATATTTCCTTTTCAGTTCCTTTGGTCAAGAGCGTCGGACAAGAAAAAAAATCGGAGATACAAACACAAAGCCTTTGGAATTGTCCTTCGACGCTCTACCACTGAGTTACGGAGAGCTGGAGTGCAAAGCTAAGCTATACACAAGTATGGCCTCGGTAACATTCGATAGAGGGCAAATCCGGGATTCATATTCCACGTAGCGGATTCAAATTTTTTCTCTGCCCTTCACTCTTAACAAAAACGAGTAACATTTTTCATCATTCCATGGTTAAAATTAAAATTTGCCATCTTTCTTGGTCGATTTTTTAATGCGCGTTTTAAAAATGAAATCTCTCACCCTCTCTTCAAACGTTAGTATTTTAGCTTGGAGCGGATCTGTTAAAATCCAGAAGGACAAAAACACCACATCGATCATCAGCAATGCAGCTATAGTAACTAGCAGATGGCTATCCTTGATTGCCTGAAATGAAGAAAGTGAGGGATATAATTTAAAGTTTGAATTTACAGGCTAGCTGTTACGTAGATGGTGTTAAAAGAGCGGTAGATGTAGCCCCTCGCAGACGTGTTTAAACATTTGAAATCATTTCACTCTAATGAATTCTGGGTGAATTACTTAAATTAAAAAAAAAGAGTGAAAAAGGTATGATTTCTCACCATTTTGTCACGACTTAACCCTGCCGTGAATATTTTGTGAACTCTCCAGGTTTTGCTGAACATTGCGCCAAATGAGAGAGAGTATCCAATGCACAACACTGCACTTCGGGCCTGCCATCGAAGATCAAATTTTTATGTTATCTTTAATGGCGATCTCCTGGCTGTAACAGCAGATACAACCATTACGATAGATTATTGTTCAAGGGCAGTTCCCTCCCTCCTTCACTCGGTGACACATCACAAGTCATTATGTCTACTTTTTCCAGAAGAGAGAGACGAGCGCCAGTTTATTTAAAGGCTGGTCAATGCTTCTTTTTCGCATGAAGAAGCAGCGGCGGACTATTTTAGGGTACCACCTCAATGAAACCTGAAACTTAGTTTCGTGTGTTTCTCACTCTGGCGGGTCATTAATTGAATAAAGAAAATATATTAGCCTGTTGAGAAGTGATACAGGATCCTGTCGTTACAAGAATTTGTTCTTAGCTGCGAGGATCTTCTAATTTCATCTTTCCACCGCAGTGCAAATATGTGAATTTTCATATATCTAAATCTTCATTCACTCGGATGTTTATTTGTACCCAATTCATTGACCAGCTCCCAGTTGGCTTGTTAGCTCAATTGGTAGAGCGCTGCACCGGTATCGCAGAGGTCATGGGTTCAAATCCCGTACGGGCCTGAAATTTTTTTAAGGTCCTACTTACAACTACTAGTTTCAGTAGTGTTCTTAGCTGCGAGGATCTTCTAATTTCATCTTTCCACCGCAGTGCTAATATGTGAATTTTCATATAAAGAATTGTGGTGTTGGAAAAGTTGTCAAAAACCCAAGGGTCTGTAAGGTAAAGGTTTGGATCCCCCCCACACCCACCTCCGGCAATCCGCTACTGGGAATCCGAAATCATAATTTGTCAAGCGAAAGGAAACTGAAATGGGCATTTTCCGTGAAACATAAGAATTTTTGTAACATTTTTAGTTTTTAAAGGTTGTTTGACACAGTCAGCAACACCGCCCAGACGTACATTACAAACGAAGGTGTATTCCTCCACGTACAGGAACCTCACATCGAGTCCAATCAAAATCACAGCGGCGTAACACAACATGCAACCCATAACGATGATGCTATTGAGGTTTGGTGAGGACATCTTAATAACACTAAACAAAATGAAACCATCGCGTGACGAGTTAGTTAACAACAACAAAAAAATTTCTTCCTAAAGGTAATTTGGTCCGTACAAAAGTGTTCGAGCTTCACACCGACATTACTTCAACACAGTAGGTCTACATTCTGGAAAAGGCCTTTTGTGTATGTTATATTTCTAAACCGCTCTGGCGAGTTTCAGATCTAAAGTTGCACTATTAATAATAACTTATTTACAGGTCGGAGGCTAACATGCCAATTCAAGCCTCAGGCCAGGTTCAGCTGAATGGGAAAGTTTGAATTTCTATACTTCCATCCAAATGGCTAACACTTTTTAAAACTTCCATCACTGAGCATGCCAAAATATGATCCCATCCCGTCGCCTTTTATTTGATTATACAACTAAACAAACAAAGTTTGAAATGCATGAGTGGCAAACGAAAAATATTTACCTCCGTCCCGTGTCTCACCTCTTTTTACGGTTTCCTATGTTGAAACACAAAAAACCTGATGAACAGGCTATTCCAATAGCTGCAAACCCCCACATAGCTGCTATCAATGGCACTTGAATCTTCATGAACTCTAGTTCCCTCTGTGAGTGATCCATAGGTTGATGATTATCTGAAATTAGTGTGATAGGATAACGTCATAGAGAAAAGCGCAAATGAGCGCTTGTTAAGAAAATATCTTACATTTCAGAATTCAAAGGCCCCGTGTGATACCGAAATTAAATACTCGACCACCGCAAAACATAATACTCAAGAAATGTGATTTGTGTTCTGAAACGAGAACTCGTTATCTTTTTCATTATTATTTTTCAAAGGGGTAGGAAAAGAGAGGCATACACTCTACACTTCTGTTATTGCTTTCTCGAGTGCAGAAAATAATAATAATAATAATAATAATAATAATAACTTTATTAACCTCCTCAAAAAGGCTTTTCAGCTTAATTTATAATGTCAAATATCTAAAACTTAGTTTTCCAAAAATACCCTTAAAAAATGCTGTTTTATTTTTACTTTAAATACATCGAAAATTGTGATAGACTGAAACTCATCTGGGAGACTATTCCATAGCTTTTGGCCTCTGAAAGTAAATGCGCGCTGACCTGCAGCTCTCCTACAGAGTGGTATATGTAGGCGATCCCTATTCCTAGTGTTGCAGAGGTGCACTTCCGATCTGGTTTTAAACTTCTGACACTGTAACTGCTTGAGAATAGGTGTAACGTGATCAAATTTTCTCGTTCCAGAAACTATCCGGGCTGCAGAGTTTTGCACTGTTTGTAATAGCTCAATATTTTTCTTGGTAGTATTAGCCCATACCGATGCACAATACAATAATTTACTGAATACTAGAGAATCAATTATAGTGATCAACGTACGCCTATCAAACAGATATTTTACGCGATTAATTTGACAAAGGCTACCTGTACATTTCGAAGTTATTTGAGTTACATGTTTGTCGTACGTTAGATTACAGTCCATTGTAACCCCCAAGTTTTTCGCAGACTTAGATGATGTAATCTCCTTGCTGAGTAGTGTAATGCTTAGATCATCTGGTATCTTCGTCAGAACCATAAGTTTTGTCTTGTCCGGATTAATGAGTAGAATGTTCTTGCAACACCATGCGGCAATATTCCAAAGATCTTCTGTCAGCTGATCTGCGGCTTAGGTGGCATCACTTACAGGAAATGAGAGGTATAACTGTGAGTCATCAACATAGCACTCTAACGACCCTACCTTAGGTACAGATGGTAGATCGTTGATGTAGATATTAAACAATGCCGGGCCCAAGATTGATCCTTGTGGTACACCATACGAGACTAGGCGGGGTTCAGATGTTTCGCAACCAATTCTCACCCACTGTTTTCTTCCGGTCAAGTAGCTTCTAAACCATTCTGTTGCTTCTTTAGAGGTACCCATTGCACGTAGCTTCTTTAACAAGGACATGTGATCAATGCTGTCAAATGCCTTGGAAAGGTCTAATAACACCAAGGCAGTGACTTTCCTGCGATCCATTGCCTCCAGGGCTAGATCTGACGTCAAAATATTGAGTGTCTCTGTCGAATGCCGTTTCTTATTCCCACTCTGGTGTCCACTGAGACAGTTTCTCTTTGTTGCATATTCGGTGAATTGATTTAAAGCTACTCGTTCACATATCTTAGATAGAGCAGGTAACAACGACACAGGTCTATTCTCGTTGGCTACTTCCGGATCTCCACCATCCTTTGGAATTGGAACAATTTCAGATTCTTTCCATGGTGAGGGAAATACAGATGTCAAAAGTGAACTGTTTATGATCTCGGTCAAAATCGGGAGGATAGCCGGTAGAGCATCTTTCGCTACTGCCATTTGTAATTTATCTTTCCCTGGTGCTTTATTTGAAGGAAATGACTGTACAATCCTGTTGATCTCGAAAGAGGTAGCAGCTCGAAATTGAAACTCATCTTCTTCGGGTATAAAATTGAAAGGGAGTTCCTGATGTGAAGTAGGTAGACCATTGACTGATGCGAGTCTTTTGGCTTCCTCTGCGGCACGTACTCCCACCTCCGTAAAGAATTCATTAAATTCCATCGCAAGTTCTTTCATATCCCTAGAATAAGTTGAGCGCGACTTCTCCCTAGTTTGTATGCAATTCCGTATCGCCTTCCACCGTTCACTAGAGCTCTGATTCTTTTTAACCTCATTCTGGACATACTCCTTCTGCGCCTCGCGTAATACCCTCTTAACGTCGTTACGACAGTCCCGATAATACTGCCAATCCACAAGAGCACCCGTCTCTCGCGCAATTTTATGAGCTTGATGTCTTTTTGCCATTTTCTCTTTGATCTCTTCATTTATAAATGGACATCTCCGATTTTTTATTTTAATTTTCTTAAGGCTTTATTAAAATGGAGCAGTTTCTCGTTTACATCGTCAGACAAAATGTTTTCATACCAAGGGATCTTGTTAAGGTCGCTCAAAAAGCTCTGAGGATCGTAGTGCTTATAGCTCCTAGCGATAACGTAAGCAGCCGGGGGCTTAGGCATCCTTAGATTTAACTCAGCGAAGACTAAATAGTGATCACTGATGTGAGTCTCCACTATACCGATGTCCACAGCTGTTGCCGGGTTTGAACTAAAATGACATCAATCAGAGTTCTAGATGTTTCTTCACTCTTGTGGGCTGGGTAATGAGCTGCTTCATATTCAGACTTGTTCACAGGTTGTTTAATGTTTTTGATTTAGAAGAACTAGCGAGCAAATCACAGTTCAGATCTCCGACCACTAGAATAGGTAGGCCATAAACAAGTGCTTGCGTATAACGGTCCCTGAAGTCTTCAAAGCAGGCAATATCAGAATCAGGAGGCTTGTAAGTGACGCACAGCAAGAATGACTCAAACGTTTTGTGCTTAACTTGCATCCATAATTGGTGAAAACCAGTGTCTGATATTCCGGATAGGTCTTTAAGTACTTTAGACTTCAAGGTTTTGCGCATGTACACGCACATCCCACCACCAAACTCATTCTTTTTCTTTCTCGGCCTGTCCAGTCTTGACAAACTGTATCCGTCAATTTCGATCTCGGCGTTTTTTACACTTGAATTTAGCCAAGATTCTTAAATTGCTAAGATTGCATACTTCTTTTCATCCATTAAATCCCTCACTTGAGTCAAATGCTTTCTTGTCTTCAACGATCGCACGTTCAAGTGTGCCACGGTTGCTTTTGATTTCTGAGAATTATTTCCATGGATTGTTGAATGCAAGGTCCCATGAGAGGTTGTCTTAGTTGCGAAGATGTCAACTGGAATATTTAATAAGTTACTTTGGTTTGCACCACGCCTTTTCTCTTGGAAGTTTTGTTGACGCTCTACACGAATAATAACATCGATAGGTCTATCGTTTAGCCGTCTTAGATGGTTTCTCCCACGTTGTCCTCTCCTCGGAGCGAGCAAGTTGAGATTCTTAAGTGTTAGCCATACTTGCCTTGACAAGGGCCGGTAAATTAGTCCGTGACCAAGGTTTTTGCTTGTCGATTTCCAGCAATTCGGCAATGAAAAAAGGAAATTTCTCGTATACAAAAATTCGATAAAATTCAAGAGCCAAAATCTTTGCAGCCACAAGGGCGCATTGGGTATTCAGATAAAAATAAATAAATGATAAATGGTTATTCTGTCAACGAAATAATAAAGCATATGCTTTTGGAGAAGACTGAATAGATAAACAAATGAAACAAAACAAATTGCTAACACTTGGATTCGATCTCACAATCGCTTCCGAGATTAAGTTCCATCCTTGGCGCTTAAGTTGCACAGCATAATAATAGGAAATGAAGTATAAACAGTGCTGGACCGCTGCGCTAATTTCTCCCTTATCGGTGATGAATTGATACTAAATAACGTTTTCTGTTTGTTTTCTTTCACGAATGGTAGTAAGTAAGTGCATAATTACTACTCAACTTTACCTTTCCACAAAGTGTCCTTGAATTCATCATATACCACGAATTTATCTTGTATAATATGGTACTCACCAATGGGAACCAGCGCCGTTCTATCGGCTGTAGAAATGAGTAATATATATTTTCATAAGTGTGGTCAGGATCATAGACAAGAAGGGCGTCGCTCAGAGGAGTTACAAATGAAGTCTATACACAAATCACATTAACAATGCTAGCCTTTGTATTTTCTATGGCACGGTAGAAATAACTAAACAATAATTTCCCAAGGTGCACTACGAAATGTCTCTCTCACCTCTCTTTTTTCCTTTGTACATTTTTACAGACTCGTCTCTTTTTTGGAAAGCATTACAAGTGCATTGCAAGTGCATTACAAGTGCATTGAAAGAGCATTGCAAGTGTGTTAAAAGTGCATTGCAAGAACATTGCAAGTTCATTGCAAGAGCATTGCAAGTGTATTACAAGTGCATTCCATTGCATAAATCGAGGGAAAACTCTCTATTACGGTATCCACAACATTATAATGAGAAGTAGCTCATTTCATCGTTCTTAAAACAGATACCACCTTTAAACAAATCAGACCTTGAAAACTGCTACTATTTGTGTTTCGTTGAGGGTATCAAACAACACACTTTCCGAAAACGTAAGAATGTCATTTTCATACTTTTTCATTCGGTCTGGTTTCCCAGTTTCTCCTTGCTCTTTGACGCGAACTCTTACCTTGATATTGCCTTATTATTACGATTCCACTTCTTTCCTCATTCTTAGTAAATGAAACAGGTCCCTATGTGTGAAAGAAAGAGTAACGGAGCTGACAGCGTATTCTTTCTTCATTCGTTTAAGGGGCAAGGATGCAAATTGGCTCAGCTTGCTCGCAATTGCGAAGCATGCCTAACAGCCTAAAAATATTTATTTACGTGACCTTCAATATTTTTCCACTAGTCCGTGAAGTAACATCTTCTCGTGAAAGGTAACAGTCATCATTCCCATCATATGTCACATTTTAACACATTGTTAAGATCATGCAGAAGTAAGGTACTGCAAATTACCGTGAGTCCTTCAAAGCTGACATTACGTAATTTGAGTTCTATGGTTTTCGTTATTCGGGCATTTCCAAGGAACCTTTTCACATTCTGCTCCAGAGGCATAGAGTTTGGCAGTTCCTTACTGCTTTCTTTCAAAGCCAGCATAACGCCCCACATTGTATCAAACGCAATGGTCATTTCGATTTTCCGTGATTTTCTTAAGGCTCCCACATCTGGAGTATTGAATATTTGTCTTAAAGTCTACAAAAGGAAAGAAAATAAAGTTTTAAGTGACGTGATGCTCACTTTAGACAGACATAAATACGTGAATAAACGCATAAACAAATATTTGAAAATAAATAACTGATCTAGTATTCAAACGATCAATATCATATGCACGAGATACTGAAAGAATGAAAGGAAACAGAAGTGTGATAGGATAGATAATTGCCAACTGACTGGCAGCCTGAGTAACTGACTGATTGGCTATGTTCGATTGAACGAATGAGCATGTTGATGTAAGGGATGAATGAATGAATGAAAAAGGGTTAATCATCTGTCAGTCTGTCAATAAATCAACCAGTCAATAATTTAAACAATCGATCAATCAATGTAGGAATTACTACTTGAAATAAGTGAGTCCATTGTCCATGAAAAAATGGCCAAAAAAAGTGAAATTTATCATCCATTCAATACACTAAACAAAGCTATTTTCACTAATGAAGCCACTTTAATTTAAAGTACTCTGGTAATCGTCCATCCTCATGAGATATTATTTTATGACTCTTACCAAGCCTGAAGCAGTAGTTGTATTCTCATCACTGCGATATACGATCTTTTTGTCGAGTATGAAAATTCTTTCTGCTACTTGTTGGTATTGTTCTCTGCTACAAAGGCCAGACCGGTTCTTTCTTCTTTCAATCTCGGCGCTGCGAACCCAAAGGTCGATGTTTCCAGCATTCGGGTGCAAGATCCAAACAAACTCTGGTCCAAACAAACCCATTTTGAATACCTATAATCAGAAATTACTAAATTAACGATCATCAGTATCATGCATCTAAAGAAAATATTCATACATCTCCCTAGAGAGAGGTCGGTCCTATGCCCTTCTCTAACAGCCCCACCCTTTAAAAAAATATTTGGTCTCTAACTGGAACAAATGAAACATCGACTGAACCAAGCGTAAAAGCAGTAATCTAGATCTTTTTTATTCGCAAGTCCTTTGAATGAAGTCAAACCCTTGTGGAAAGTACTTGCACATGGATGTACTATTAAGACTCTCTATGAATCACTAATCTAGTGAGGGACAACCATGGACGATTTTCACTAGATAAATTTTACAGGCTGAGTTTACAAGTCAAGCTGTTCAATGTCACCTTACCTCGCAAAATACCAGCGACGCTCCTCTGCTGCTGAATGCCCCATAGAATATTTTGGAATCTGAATCCTTAATTAAAAATAATAATCAATTCATCATTGATGAATATAACTTTTAAACTCGAGTTTAAAGTGTTAACGTAAACCGGAAGAAGATCGCTGTAAATTTTGCGAGATCAAACCGCTATTCAGACGGGCGATTAAAGATAGAATAATGAGAAAATACACAGTGTACAGTTTTCGCCAGCATTAATCGTGAATTAAAAGACGAGTTAATAAAATTTTAAAGAAGTTGTTGTCTAGTAAAGGTTCACTACCATTACCTTTAGTTTTCTAAGCTTGTCTTGGGTATCCTGGTTTCTGCTTCTATAATTAACTTCACCAGTATTTATCGCTTCATGGCCAATTATCGTAGAGTCAGTGTTCATCATAAGGCTTTCAACATTCTGGAATGAAAATTGTTAAAAAGCAAGACATACTTTATGGCGGATTGAGTTACATGGAAATGCACATGTGAATAGGTGATATTGCGCATTACTCAGTCAAAGTTTATACATACGCCTAAATTTTAGGCGTATTTTATCCATATAAACTACGGTTTATAAACTAAGCTTTCGCCATTTTCAATGCACGGTCGTTTGTCGAAATTTTCTCTGACAATGACTGCTAAAACACTGAAAATTCGTATCGCTTGCAGAAATTGAAGTTCAACATTTCCCAGAAGGAGAAGAAAACCAAAATACGAAAGAAAAAAACAAAAACAAAAACAAAGATTACGTAATCAGTGGCGTTGGTGAAGGCATTCTTGCGGCTGAGAACGAAAATCGACATTGGAAGATTTGCCACAAGTCCAAACATCAAGGGGAAGACACTAATATCGCTAAGAGGCAGCATAAAGAATAGATTGCCTAATTGTGCTGGATAAACCACAAACTGATGAAGGAATTTTATCTTCAGATCTGTGAAAAACGTTTTTTGATTGGCATCTGAATTACATGGATCCATACCTTAACATAAAGACCTTGCGTCTCCAGGAAATCATAAACAATCGCGAATCTTTTCCATTTAAAGTGATTCATTATCTTTAAAACAGTTTTGATGTAGGTAAGTTGTGTTGGAGCGAATGTGAATCCGTATGGATCCCTTCTCTCGCTGTCATCGTTAGTTGTCGTCAGATACGTAACCTATTACGAGGAAAATGAAGAAGACCATAGTGACTTATTTTGTTACTTCTGAGCCGAACAGAAGGATATTTCCATAGCGAAGATGAAGCCTTACGACTAAATAACAAGCTCGGTTAACGACTTTAATTTTGTAACTTGGTTCAAATCGGTTCAGAGAATCCGGTTGAAACAACGTTTACCTCAATTGAACGATCACTTAACGAATTAATGAGTCGCCCGAAGCTAGATGCATGCATTCTGTATAACGTACAGTAAGAACGCAATTTCATTCTATTCGCTTATCCTTCATTTTTCATATCATATATATATATATATATATATATATATATATATAAGTCGTTGTTAATTTTGTACGCAATTAATTTATCCTGCTACGCCCTTTTTTTGAGAAGAAAAGCTCATGATCATCGCTTTTAAGAATTTTTCGGGGCTCCAGCATTTGACCTTTTATACTCTTCATTTCATTTCATCCTGAGTTTAATTAAGACTCCTGCTAACGGTGAGGAAAATGGCATATTTGCAGATCATGAACCTTCAATTAAGCTCATTCAGATGGTGTCATCAATGAGGTAAAAATCCATTCAAACATTTATCAAACAACTGACTAGTTCATAAAACAGATTTCTAAAATGATCTGTTTATCACCATAAACAAGCAATCAAACTCAATGGAATACATCTGTTTGAGATATATATAGCGATCGTTCATTATCTCTCCTCACCATTAACTTTCGGTAATATCTTGCGATCTTAAGAACCGTGGAGGCCTCAGAAGAGGTTTGAGGTCCGAGCAGAAGCAAAGGGAATCCGCCCTTCCTGTACCTTAAGGCATGAGTGGCGGAATTAATACTTGATGTTACATCTCCCTGTCGAGAAGGAAATAAATGAGAATTTTTTTAGACTAATCTTAGAGAAAATGTAACACTTTCTGTGTAAAGTGCCAAAAGACTTTGTCCTTTATATCCCTGGTATTTGTCAGGGAAGCTGTGAGACTTTGCTTTTTCACAAAGATATATAACAACTTGAAAAAGAAACCGCCATCTTGAATGACTTCATGGGCTCTCATGCCGATCAGTAACAGATCTAAATCAGGAGGTGACGTAAATTCTTGGTAAAAGAGTAAATAGAGTAAATAGAAAGATGATAGCAACGAGTGTAGGATAGATCAATGTATTGTTAATCATATTCGTCAGCATTTTCCTTCTCACTTGGTTGCCTAGGTTATATCTGTGCATCTTTATCCGCCCATTTTCCTCCCTTACTTTTTAAAATAATTCAATTTATCTTGTTTTTATTTATATCTAGTTGACAATATTAACAGGAGCAAGGCTGAACAACAAAAGTGTTCAGTGTTATATTGTGAAGGACTTTAGTAGTCGGCAGTTAACCTCCGTTGTTTTCAATCGCACAGATTTGAATTTTGAAGATGGTATCAACTCCTATTTCAAGTTACAACTGTTTGCAACGTGTATTTCCTGCAGCAGCATGATAAATTATTCCTGAATATGAACATTTGTACAACTTACTCTGGTATGATAAGAAACGATCCTTATTTCATACTTTTTGAGGAAATCTTTCAAGCTCGAAGAGTTTTTAGCGACGTGGATGGCGTGTGTGATTCCAAGTTGAACCCCTCTGTCTTTATCCTCGCTTATTTCCAGCGATCCAATTATGAGCTCTGTCTTGTTAGCGTTACAACGTTTAAGTGACAAAACAACACAGAGAATACCCAAGGTGGAAAAGACGCCTGTGCCCCTCATGTCAGAGCTAAGTAAAAACAATTTGACGATGTTAATATAGAAATATTGTGTAGCTGTGACACCTCTGCCATTTACAAATTGATGTGTATGGTCCTACCTTAAGCCCCGCATAGCCTAAAGCGAATCGGAACAGAATAAAATCTGGTAACTACAACAAAATAAATGCACTTGCAAAGGCTGAGCCAAAAAGTTGTTTTTTTGGTATCTTGTGTGTTCAATTTCATAAGTAAATGTCGCGCAGGAATTTTCTGTCTTTTCCAATGTTTCAGTTTTCTCTTCATCACGCAACAATCTGTTTCTTAGGCTGAAAAAATAAAGCCCGGAAACATATGTACATATTTACCCTAAGGGGGCGGGTTGCACCTTGTTGACATATCGGCTTCAACGGAACTCGATCTCGATCTCGATCTCCCCCGTTCACCCGATGCATACGCATCTGTAATCATACTTTACTTCTCTCGTTGCCCCTCTCTCATTATCTTCAAGAGATAATAGTGATTGTTTTCTTAGACAAGAGAGTAAATGTGCTTGGTTTATTTTCCCCTACGTCAGTAAAAAGGTGCATGTGTTTAGCAAATTGGTTTGCAAATTTCTGACTTCAATTCGAGAAACATCTGTTATATAATTTTACTATACGGTTTTAAAATATCGTTATTACGCCTTGAGAAATGAGACATAATTCCCCAAAAACCTATAGAAGCTCCTGTCTCGGATAAAACGAGTGCCAAGTCAAACGTAACTATTTCTAAATCCTCTTTATTTCAACTATGTAATTTATTTTGAATAAATAGAGAAGGCTGAATTTAATTAAAATTCATTGTTTGTGAATAAGTTAGTGTGGATTCCAAAAGGAAGTCGCTAAAAATAAAAACTAAAAGGTTGGTCTCTGAAAGGACTAGGTTGTAAAACTGAAACGTATTAAAATGTTTTCCTCCGTCCTCTGAGTCTAAAAACGTTTTTATGACACCGAGTAGAGTACAGGAGGAAAACTGTTGTCTCGTCTTGCGTCAGCTGTACTCAAACGAAAAGTTATTATTTGGTAACAAAGGCTTCTTTGCTTAGAAATAAGACGAAATGTAAAATTTTACATTACAGTATTTGTTATATTGTAAATTTCGGATCTGGCAAAGACACTTTTGAACTGTTATTATTAATTACCGCAAAAATAAAAAAAATGCGTTTTTTGATAAGTTAACCTAATATTTACTTTCAGCATTAGTTCGTAACTAGTTAAGCTGTACTTGTTCTAAGATTTTTTACCAAATTTTGACCATTGTTCTGAATCATAAAAAATATCTTCCGAAACATGTCTCTTAAAGGAAAAATAAATAAATTTCCTTATGCTGCTTTATCTCTTTAAATCTACCTTTAAAAATAAAAGGTATTAAAATATATTGTTTATATGTAACTCTGTAGGAAAGCAACCTCAATTTTCAGTTGGTAATGATGTTGGTGAAACAAACAGTTTCTGGAACGTCCAGAAAAAGCAAACAAGTTGTTTTGAAAATTAGTCAATTATGTTAATGGTTATTCAATTTTCAGCAACGGTTTCCGATGTTCCTACACCAAAATAAAAGCTTGTGATTCGTTCCTTAAGTAAGCTATTGTTTTAAAACAGCTGACCTTTTTGATATCTGACCGACAGATGTTACTAACTAATCTATTCGCGTTTGCAATTTTATTCATCGACTGACTGTTTAACATTATTTTCTGAGCGAGTAATCCTCGAAACAAAATGGAAAAATATTCAAACTTATTAAGATATTGCTTTTTATTTTTTTTTCAGAGGGCACGGTAACGAGTCCTGTAATCTGATTGGTTTTTTACCGGTCAGTATTTTCCTATCTCTGCCTAAGGGCCACGGTAACGCTTTCGTGAGTCGCCGAGTACATCCCAAATTTCGTTGCCATTTTTCATAAATATATCTCGTTTTTCCAGCTGGGCAGTATTTTTAAGCAAACACGTTGGTCACTACCTCAAGCCGATAAATAATTTATGAATCCTCTCTTTTCTTTCTCTCAAATCACTTTGACAGAGAAATATTGGTTTCAGAATGAATTTGTATAAGCAATAGTGTCATTACATTGGTTGACAAGCGGCCTAAATACCGTCTGTAATTAATTTTAATCGTTCGCAAAAAGTACCTAGAAAGTTAAAACGTGAGGTATTTGGTTACAGTTTAACTGAACGATGGAACTTTCATTCATTTGATATCTGAATTTTCTTAAACAATTTGTGCGTAGTGAAAGAGCGAGCGAAGTTTTAATATCAGTTCTACAACAGAAACTGAAGGAATTTATCGAGAAAAGGCCGCATTAAATCCCCTTGTGTCTCGTTGGAGTGTGCCATTCGAATTTAGTTTTTGTGGAGGAAAGATCAGATTCACACACGCCATTGCAGCAAACAAACCAGCAAATTCTCACAACTTCAAATAAAAAAATTTGAATTTACTCACAATTACTTTCCTCGCCGTTTACTTAATGAACAGAGGTAAATCTTCGTACATGAATTAATCGTCGATGAGAGTGAATAACACTTTCCGTTAGATCATTGACTGTTTTTAAAAAAACATTGTCGGGACAGTCCTTGCAAAACTGTTGTTTTTCATATGTTCTTGCACTTTTTTTCTTACGCGCTCTCTAATTGACAGGTGTCTGTTTGGAAGCCTTTTTAACTCGTGAATTGCGCGCATGCGCAAGAGCGAGTTATAAATACCATGTGGGGAATGGCATTCGCTCGCTCGATTGGTCGATTCCTGTAAACTTTTTTTAGATTTTAGGCTTTTGAGTGCATTTGATAGTTTTTGGCAAGCAATAAACAGACGAAATGGCGACCTTTGTTGATAAGAATAGTGGTGGGGTGAAAAAGAAGCCAATGATAATCTTAAAAGAGTTTTATTTTTCGTTTTAGTTTCAACAAGCGGCGCCAGCGACTGGCAGGCATGCAAGGATTCACACTGAAATAACAGAACAACCTTCGTTTTTCATAAAATTGTAATTTACAATCCTTAAACTTGAAAACAATCCGAAGATTCATTGAAAATATCACTTACTGCTAAGCGCTCGGAGTTTACAGATGTTCAAAGCTTATTCTGTTATAGCGTGAGATTGAGGACAAAATTGATCATAACGTTTCGTCGCGTGAGTTTTTCCTGTGTGAAGCAACAAAAGATGCCGGCGACTGACGAAATAACAAGTTAACACGAAAATCAAATAACACCTAAACAAACAATTTTAGCTACCGATTTTCAGTGAATTTTTAAAGAACAATTTTCTTTTAAGTTTCAAGACAATTTGAAGATTCAACATACATACAACGTACTAAAATGCGAAAGTTACACACCACAAAATTGATAAATAGGCCTGAAATGAAATTCTATCTTGTTATTGATTATACGTTGCCCAGCACGTGACTTAAATCTACCCAGGCGGAGATCCAAAATGACGGTGGCAGGCTTGGCTTTCTTTCGGAAAGAATTTCGTCAAGTTTAAAAAAATAAATATGTTATTTACCGGCTAAGGGTCGAACCGTTGTAGTGTGACCTTCGAGAATGTTCTAGAAGTAGCTGTGTCTTGCTGAATCATCCATGAATCAATATGTAAATAGAATCTGTTGTAATATTACGGAACGTTCTAAATCCTTAACCGTACCTATAAAAGCCGAGCTTGTAACTAGATGTAGAGAGTAGTTTAGTGACTGGTATAGCCCGTCAGATATCAATAAAGGTGGATGCTGCAGAATACAAGACGTCCACACTTCATCCGTATGGTGAAAAACTGTGACCTCGGTTACAGTTTTCACCATACAGACCTCCCAGCCGGCAAATAACATACATGTATTTCTTTAGTCTCTCTATTGAACCCTATCGCGACAACATATTAGCTGGCTTCAAAGCAAATTCCTTTAAGCTAGGAAGGAAAGGATTTGGTGGCTGTCCTCATTGATAATTACGCTTGGTTCGATCAAGATCTTGCGTTAAGAGAATACTGCTCAGAAGAGAGGGTTGAAGCTCATTGAATATAATATTTTTCTGTCGATTAGGCTGAAAGATCTGTTAAAGTGAGTTCTAAAAATATCTGGGAGAGGGGGAAAAAAAGAAAAATCTCACAGTGCGGGGGTCTTCTCTGAGTCACGCATTTAAATGGGCATTGAAATGGGCCCTGTCCGATAGGGCTTAACCCTATTACTCAAACCTGCGAGAAGAGAAAAGAACATAAACAACTCCTACTTCGAGCAGTATATTCGGTATGTTGTCAAACGGTTGGATGCGTGGAGTAAATCCCAAGGTGCGATAGAGTTGACGGTAGCGTACTGATTAAAGGCGAGCCGCACAGCTATGAAAGCGTTTTGCCAATTCTCGTGTACAGCGATATTTTTATTTGACTTAATAGACGACTAACAAACTCTCGTTTGGTCAAAACGTTATCTGAATCATCGAAATAGTTTTATGTCAAACAGGCTGTTTAGAACCTGCGATCAGGCGGACCTTTTAATTTCGAGTGCGAAATGCGGTGGCAGGGGACTCGAAATCTCACGTTGTAAATAGCGGTGCTCAATCAGCGAGTTACCTGTGATCAAGAGAATTTTTTATTGCGCTAACTTACTCTTACGTGGGTAAGAACATTTGCCAGAAGATATCATCGCCGACTTCGAGAACAGGTCTGTCGATCCGCCTCGCGCCAATAAATGTAGTGAGAGACTGATGGCATGATCTCAGCGGGCCATAGGGACCAGTCTTCACATTATCATTATCGCCTGAGGGGGGTAGGAGGACTTTGGAAGGGATCGCATGGCTTTCAGAGGGAACAGAGGGGGAATCGTCTCTAACAGAGTTTGAAAGGGGGTTGGGACTATGGAAAATTGACTACCTATGAAGGGGGATCATCACTACAGAGCCTTATGGGAGATCAAGTAAATTTTATGTTGACACAACAAAAATCCTCGACCTCCTCAGGGGATAAATAATGAACGGTCCTTACCCGGCAGAAGTGGATTTAATCAGATCTTTGAGACTATGCTTGCCTTTTCAACATATATCTTGCAACTATGCACGAGAAATTTCCCTGGCTATCAAATGAAACAAGCTCGATCACTTTCTTCGCCAACTTGTTTATCAAGTGATTACTGACAGCGACCACGCAGAGGGAGGGGCTGGGGGATTTAGCCCCCCCCCCCCCCATTTTTTTGCAAGAATAAAAATAAATTAAACAAAAAATAATTTAACAAAAAAATTTTCCTTCACGCATTCTTCTTTAGCCCCCCCACTCGAAAACTTGCTGCGCGGTCCTTGACTGATCACTCCATGTGCACCTCCGCCAACGCCATCTATTGCATAACTTGCACTTATTGCAAAGAGGTATTCATTGGTGAAAGAGGTAGACGACTAGGTATCGAATTCTGAGAACACCTTCGCCGCGTACAAAGGAATTACAAGAACGCATCTGAACCAGCCGCTAGACACTTTTATTCCCCTAATCATTCTAAGCAGAGTATGGCACTTTTCGGCCTTTCCCTTCATCCCGGCCGTCGCAAATACTATAGAACAAAAGTTTATTTTTCAAATCGGAATTTTTATTCCCCGCGGTATTAACGAGCGCTTTTGATTCAACTAATATATTCTTGTTTTCTCGTCACCTAGGCCTATTCCCACCTACAGCGTAGCTCCATTTTCTGCTATAAACACACATAATTCACAAATATTCCATTCGCTCTGACGAAGGGCTAACGCTTGAAAAGTTAGCTTTGAAACTCTTAACGGTGGGCAACTTACGTTATCAACTCAGTTGATAATACCAAATTACTTTGTTATACTCTCCTAGTGACGCAGCATCACAGTTTCTTTAGAAACTTACCCCTTTACTTATTTTTCTTTGGTCCCGTCTGAGAACTTCGGAGCCTTATCTGGTTACCAAGCCTCCAGTACCTATAACCAGCACTTGAATTTCAGTATCTTTCATTTTCAAAACAGGAAGGCGAAAGGAAAAGTGATCACCCAGCTTTGTGGTGGATTGATGCTGTTGGCAAGGAGATTAAGGGGATTTTTCAAGATATCGTTCTGTACTCTAAAAAAGTAAGATAAAACCTTCTGTGCGCAATTTACAAAAAGAGCCGCCAGAGTCTTCAAAGAGCCCCCTTTATCGTTTCTGTAGAACTGAGATACCTTCTGTCACTTGACGGAAGATTCAAAAGTCGATGAAGCACAAAGCGAAGTAACTTTGATAGAGTCTAATCGATTTTTTTGTCAAATAAGTGTGAGGCTTAATGGATATCAAGAAAGATCATGTAGTCTTTCTTACCTTATCTCCATAGTTTATCCACGATTGCAAAGGAATTTTCTAATGTTCTCATTTCTAATTTCAGGTCAGTATTACTTGCAGTACTACCTGGGCAATTTCGCGAGATTAAGATGATATGACATTTACTAAGATATTGACAGAGCTATGAATTCCATGTAAATACTTTGTATCTGGGGTTCACCTCCTTCATCTTCTATCCTAACTTTTGCAACTGCAACGATTACGACCACTTATTCGTGCTTTATTGTATATGAATACTTTCATGTCGCAAAATTCGAGGATTTCTAATCTTACGGACTCACTACTCCGACCTCATTTTTACCGTGATCAAAACCAAATGCTGGGATGGTAGTTTTGGTACGAACAGGGTTCTGCCTGCATCTCGCAACAGCTTTCACTAGACGAGATAAGTTTACCTATGATAACCAATTTCCCTGTGTTACGAGACTCTCCGAATAGGATAACAAAATAATAATTAACTCTAACTCTCTGTATACTGCTGAATTGACCACGCATAACATCAAAATGTGTCCACCCCTTCCATGCATTTAAACACGACTAGTAACCTCTCTTCCGTACGTCAATAAGCAAAATGTTTTTCATAGTAGTAGATAAAGAATGTAATACAGATATTAAAATTTATTATAAGCTTTGACTGATACGAACACATTTAACTAAGTGCTACCTGGTTGTTTTGATTATAACATGAGAGCTTCTTTATATAACAAAGCTTTTTATACCAACCACTAAAACAAACTATGCGAAGAAGGATTATAGTACTGTTGCTACACTTGCTGACAGATGATTCTATGCTATTGGGAAAAATGAAATAATTGATTGATAGCTGATTGACTCCTGCTTTATTGTGAATGAATATCTTCTGTTCCTTGTGATACATCATTACCCTCTGCCAAAATCTCCATGTCTTCCCCCTCCTTTGCTGGTGCTTTATTGTATGCTCCATTTTTCATGTCTACCTTCTGCTTTGCTGACGCATCGCTAAATGTCTTCTTTTTCACGTCTCTCTTCTGCTTTGATGATGCTGTACCGTCTGCCTCTTTCTTCGTGCATGTTTTCAGCTTTGGTGATGCATTGCATTCTGCTTCAACTGCAGCCATTTGATGCAAAGAGGGCTGGTGTCTACGAAAAAAAACATTCGGAGTTACAATCAGCACAAATTTTAGAGGGATTAAAATACCTTTACTTAGGCCTAGCCTACCTTTTATGTCTTTCATCCTCAATAGTGAAACGTAGCTTAAGCAGACGATATTCGGCGTTACTCACAATGATTACCCCAGTCGTTCATGAGAAATCGACAACCGAAAAAGAACAGAACAGTACTAGCTTATCACTTGAAAAGGTCTACCCAGTCTGTATGCAGGAAAGCCCTTACGTCTACCATCATGTCTGTATTTGGATGGTCTCTTTACCTCAGTTCAGGGCAATAGCTCTGGTGAAATTAATGTTGTTTCGCATTTTTTTTTAATTCCACGAATGTTTCCTCTGTTTTCTGTGTTTCTTTTTCCTTTACATGGTAATTTGGTAACATTTTCCTACGATCCGTAACTTACATTTGGACAATCTTGGACACAATTTTTCCATTACTACACCTTCACGGGGAATAGAGCCATTACGTACTTAAAATCAAGGCCGTAATGATGCTTTTATAGGAGATGCAGTGAAGGGAGATGATACCAGAACAAATACTGGAGCTACCAAATAGGCTAATCAATGTGCAATCATTGCAACACCAACAACGTGTATTCCTATTTTTATGTTTTTGAATGAAATTTGCAATGCGACGAGAATTGATGACACATGGGTGGGCGAAATGGAGTTTATTTTCTCAAGTTTTTTGTAACTTTACCAAGAACAAAAGATGCATTTAATTGTCTGTTACTTAAATCAGTGTGTTTTTGTTTTTTTGCTTTTGTTTTTTTTATAGGGTCGGATAGGTTGGCGTGGAGATCTACACTTTCTTTTCACTTTACAGACGAGGTGAACTAAATACTGCCCAAAGGTTTTTCCGCATTAACTTAATTTTAAATTGTCATAGCACTCACTCAGTGGTCTGCTTTGTGCCGTCCGTTAATCCAGACTCCACCTTTAAGGAGAAAGTTGGCAAAAGACCCTCTGTTTGTGTCCAACGATGAAATTTTTTAACGTTGTCCTTGACGAACTGTTCCTCTCGTTCATCCTCGCTTTGGAGTTCCTCATGACAAAGAGTGAATCTCATAGCTCCGCTTTCAAGCGCAGCGGCAGCAATTGATGGTTTCTTTAATATCCCTTTGTCAAGCTGAGTTTTCATCAAGTTTTTACCAACCATTCCTCGAATTTCTCCTTGCAAGTCATTGACTGGAAGAAGCAAAGCCAAACAGCAAGAAAAGGACCACTGTGGGTTTTTGCGCCACTCCTTGAGGTACTCGTACAAAAACACAAGGTATTGAACTGAAATAGAGATATGAATCACATATCTCATTTACAATTTTTTGATTGACGAATTTAATTTCATTTTAGGCGATATTCGTTGTTCCATTGATATTCCATTCTATTCTTGCTTATGTTCGGGTTTGTTTGTTTGTTTGTATGGCTGTTTCCCTTAGTTAGATTATACTGCTCCTCCCCAGTCATTATCTTTATGATAGAAAACTTTGTAATAATTATCAGTTCAGTTGTTTTAAGGTGAAGGGAACAATAAAAACTTTGTAAGTAAAAAATCATACATACGCGAATAGCTAAGCTTGTGGCTCATTGAAAGTTGAAATAGTTTCGGTGGAAAATTTACTTCGTGCTTTACAGAGCGACCAACGGGAGAGACCAAACTAGCCTTTAATTCGATCCTTCAATTCTTATAAATACATTGTACTCTCTTACCAACAAGAACACCAATCACCATGGTATTGGCACCCAGTATAAGTAGTTTCATTGCGATTTCTTCTCTTTGCTTATCCTCCATGTCTGATATATTCTCGCCTGGGATTCTGCTCACAGCGCCAATGCCTATGTTTACAACTGTGACAGCTAAGGAAGTCGTCATCAGTCTGTTTTCGGAGGCCTCCCGTACGGGTTTCATCCAGGAGAAAAGTACTCCATACATACCGGCAACAACCCATGCCAAACCAATGTAGGACCTGCTCTCTTGTCCCACAAGGATAAGACCAGAGGTAAGAACAACTTTACGAGCCATTTCAACCAGTTCCCAATACCACGAAGAAGGTTTATAGTTTTCGGAAAGAAATTTCAGCCCCTCAATTATCTCCTTGTCAGAAACGTTATTATCTTTTTTCATAGTTGATATCTCTCTCCGATGCCTCCAAAGTACGATGAACGAAGTGGCAGGTAAAGCAAAGAGATAGGCGGTCGAAATGTATGCCAAAATCAGCCAATAGTTGTAAATGTGTCCTTGGCATCTTAAACTGTAATCTGCTTTGGCGTATTCTTCACACAGCTCTTCCTTGTCATCTCTGCAGAGTTTCCGGCAGGCAAATGGCAGAACGCTTGCTGTCTTGGAAAATGTACTCAGATAAGTCACATATAGGAAGAAACACAGATTTTTGTAAAACAGCTGTTTTGTTCGGGAAATTTTGCTCGACTTCTCTTCCTCTTCAAGATCATCATTTTTCAAGGTTACTGACCTATAGATAACGTAACAAAACCCTGAGGCGCCAATGACACTAAAATTCAAAGTCAACATCAGGAACAATTCTCCAAAGGCATTTACATGTAATCCTGAAAATAGACAGTGAATAGGTGCGATCTGAAGCAGATTCAGTTGGAGTATTCCTGAGTATGTGGCGACAGCTTGCAGTGAATCCGGCCAATCGATGTATGAGAACACCTGTAGTAAGCCGTGAGTGACCTGATAAAAACCAATCAGTATTTTAAGCTTAGAAAAGAACATGTCTATCAGGTAGTGGCCCTGGTCTTGTTCCCATTTAGTTTTTTTCTTCCACATCATAAACGCAATAACCAGAAACAGAACGACGACGATAATCGTCAATTGTGTAGCAATCCACGCTCTTGAAGGACATTTTGCACATGATTTCAGTTGCTTGTAATATCCTGAACTACAAACTGCACAAAGTGGACCATCGTACCCCTCTCCACATGTGGAATCCAAACCCCCTCTGCAAGCTTCCTCTACCTGACATCTATAGGGTGTTGGGATCGCATGTGGGTATTGTATGGAAGAATTATCCAGCGCTGGTGAAGACGCCAAAAGATTTTGTATGAAATCCTGGTAGCGCTGTTTGTATGACTCGTTACGCCACCGCCACCAAAATCCAGATTTTAATGAGGCATATTCATCTTGGCATAACTGTCCTACTTTGCATTTGTGACATTTAGCGAATCGATGGGTTCGATAAAATCCTTCCAAACATGGACAAGCTCGATATCCGGCAAAAAAGTCGCTTTCAGTTCCTATTGAAATGTATAACAGTGCCAGTGTTATTAAAAGTAAGTAAAAAAGTAATTTTTAAGTAATTTCATTGTACGTAGTGCTAAAACATTTTCAGATAATAGACAAAAATGTCTGAATTTATGATGGCGTCGCATTCACTGCGAAAGTTAGGTTATACAATGACACCATATACATTTTTTGTATAAATCAGGCGGCAATCAGGTTAGCGCTGTGGAAATAATAGAAAAGGACCCCTGAAGCATCTCCCACCTCTACCCATCACAAATAAAATGGTCAAAACCCGTACAGCGTGGTCCGATTAGAACCGCTCCTTAAATTACATTCCGACATTTTTTGAGCTACTTATACTACCCGTATTCTAATTCCGACGTACGTAAGGCTTTGATGAACAGTAAGTAGCAAGAGTAATACAATTATGTGATAAGAATAATTTCTTACCCAAGGGGCACGCCTTACAATCTAGAATTGACTTTCCTGGTGTTTGGTGGAACGGAACGTACGATCCGTTAGGACATCTCCTGCAGCTTTCAGCCACGTACCCGAGAGTGTCAGAATAGAAACCACCTTGAAAAAAAAAGGCAAGTCTAAAGCTAGGCTAGATTGAGAAATGACTTTAGTGAAGAACAAGATTATCAAAATGATGAACTTTTATGTATGTCAGCAGTAGAAGACTTTTTTCGTGTTTACAAACTGTCTAATCTGAACACAAGAGGTTGGGAGAATTCGAGAAAGGTATGGTTTACGGTTTTCCAAGTTTTCATTGGAAAAATGCTTGAGGGCAAATAGCCAGCTTTCTCACTTTTCAATAAATCATGACGTATCCAAAAAAAAATTGCACGTTATGTAGACGAAAAGGCATTATTTTAATAGATCAGTTAGTCACATTTATCAACTCGTATCATGCCATCATTAGACAATAGTGAACTCAAGTAAGTGTCAACAATTTAGCAATTAAGGCGGTCAAGGACTGAATTTATGGCTTTATAAGACAAACTTTAGACTTTGGGATGGAAAAATGTTTGCTTAACTATTTCCCTCAATGTTATCTTTTTTTCTCTGTCATAACTGTTTTGCATATTTTAAATTCAGCGATGTATAGTCGTACGAAATTGCGGAAATCGCGTCACCATTATTCAAGCCGTGAATGGGTAATTCCAAACATTTATAGAATAAACAGTTTTCATGAGATATGCGCCGAATGGAAAATATTCGACAGCCAGTCTGGGTAAGTTTGGATGCGCCTCGTATGAAACAAAAGTAACAGATTTTGGAGGTGAAACAGAGAAGTATTCGCTCGTGGTTAGCGACAAATATTCGGAATATTTTTTTTTTCAGCGCAAGTCATACTGTGAATTCTGGATAGAGATGTTTACTTCGCTAAAAATGCTTCAATCCTATGACTCTTGCTTGTTTGAGGAAATGAAATAAGTTATTACTGCACAAGGTAATTCTCTGCAACAACTCCATTCATATGTGGACCAAAGTAATTCGAATTTTTTTCAGTCAGAATGTCTCCTTTCCACTCACACTTCCATTGGACGGCAATGATTAACCAGGCTACTGAGTTTTACCAAGGGGTGACTGGAAGTAATGATGTGGGTATAGGAACATTAATAACCAACCCAAATGAGAATGAGTCACATTGCCATGGCGAAAAAAGCCAAAAAATCCAATTAATTTTTAAATGCTTGTCTGCTTTTTTGATTGTTTTTCGTACCATAGAAATGAAAATAAACTTCGTCGAATCGAACGTGACTTTAAAGTGAACCTGGTAATGTTGTCATGCATAGAATCAGTAGTTAACAGAGCAACGAATCGGTAATTGATTTCATTCACGAATTTTTTAGCTTCTTCCCTTTCAGTGGTAAACTATGGAATATCAAATTGTACTTAAAAAAAAATTCAGTGTTTCTTCAAGTTACTTAAGGATAGAGAAAATCAAGAGAAATTCAGTACTTCATCAGCTGTGTTCTCCTTCAAGTCTCCATCCGGAGGTACATGATAACTTGACTTCATCGCAAAGTTTCCTTGGCTAAAAATGATTGTTTGTTTTGAATATATTAACGATTGTAATAAGTCCTGTTACTTAGAATTTTACCTTCATTTTGCCAAGCAGTAATTAAAACAATACGTTAGGCAATTTAAATAGTCTAAGAAACACAATCGTAGACAATTAAATATTCCTACACGCTACTTTCTCATTTAAAACCATTTTCTCTCAGCGGCTTGCTTTTCCGTCAGTCTCGATTGCACAAGAAAGTGATTCCAACAGCATTAGTTCTTTGTTTGTGTGCCATCGCCACCACTGCTTGTTTGGATGGTACTGTAAAGTTCTACTTTTCCTTTCCTTGTATTTTTTGCGGCCTAGAAACTGGTAAGTTATCACCTCAAAGAAAACTGAAATATTTTTTCCACAAAAGGGTGCAATGTAGAACTTAACGTTTTTTTTTCTTAAGTCAGGGTCAATAAATGAATCTAGTTAAATAGAACTTCAATCCTGCTTTAGTAAAATCCTCGAGAAGACAGGGTTAACAAGTATGTAATATATGATACCATGTTACTGTTGTGCGCCAAAGTCAGAATTTTACAGAAAGTGAAAGAATGCAGCTTTATCCCGTGAATGGCACAGAAAACAAAATATCAAGATATCCTGGTATATGGACTTGCTTATATACATTAATTTATCATTCAACGGAGTAGTTACTTATCAAGCATGCTTTGCACGTAATCAATGTCATAACGGACGCTACTAAATTTGTCATAAAAAGCTGTGTTTCGCGATTAGATTTTATGGTTCCTTGATTTTTCCGCACGCACACAGTTTTTGTTTGAGTTTATTTATTTGTTTTTATTATTGTCATTTGTAGTTCTTCTACAAAGCAAGATTCATCAAAATGAACAACTCCTCCATCTCCACTCAGGGAAATGAGAAAGAACCAAACATGAAGTTATCAGAATTAATGGCGTGGAGTTCTGCGTATGGATTTGTCGATGTTGTCATTCTTGTTGGCAATGTCCTTACCCTCACCGTTTTCTCTACAAACCAGAAGCTTCTTCGCATGCGTGCAAATTACTTCCTGATAAATCTGGCACTAGCGGATATGATAGTTGGTACGTTCGCTATGCCCATGTACCTTTACCACTTAATTTCGGCATGGAAAAAGGGTTAAAGCGTCTGGATGCAATATAGTTACAAGATTTACAAGGTGGTTGATGTTTTTGTTGGCTGTGCCTCCATATTTACCCTCACTACTGTAGCCCTGGAGCGAGCATTCTCAGTTTGGTTGCCTCATGTTCATCGTCACGTCAGAAACAACAGCTATTATGGACTTCCTGGCCTAGTATGGCTGTTGTCTTTTCTGGTCTCTTGTTTGCGATTAATTTTTGAGGAAAAACTCTTTCACTACCGTTTTTCTTCTACTTTATGCTGGTTTCCTTTTCCGTCGCCCTCTCGATAATTTGCGTATCTTATGTGGTAATATAATTCAAAATGAAATTTCGTTTCGCCAGGAGAGACAGCGGACATAAGCGGTCCGGTGAACATGACAAACGACTCGCTGTAATACTGTCTGCAGTAACTGTTGTGTTTGTTGTCACCTGGATGCCATTTCAGGTCATAAACATTGTAGCATTTTCCTGCATGTCTTTCCAGAAAATGCCAAACGAGATCGCTTATTTTGCAAAGTTTTTACATTATGGTAACTCGTGCGTTAATCCTATTATTTACTCATTCTTGGTACCTGAGTTTAGGAAGACATTTGTCAAAATGTGAAGCAAAGCTGAACGAGTTAATCGTTAATTAATCCTTTACACCCTGAGAACAGTGTCCATAGACTCCATACTCTCCTCTATATATTTCCTTTGGTACTGGCAAGGAGAATTCATTTAATGATCAAAGCTTCGTAAGTTGGCGAACATTTCAGTTGTTCTCTTGTTCTCATGATTGTAATGAAGGATGCAGTGGCGTTGATGAAAGGAGAAATTAAATGCTGGTCACTCTTAGGGTTTAAAGGGTTAATCATACGTCGTATGTCTTACTTACAGTGAATCTACTAAAACAAACCTGGAGGGCATTCTATGCATTTGCCATTTCCTTTTGAAAACGTTCCCAGTGAACAGGGTTGAAGTATGTCGTAAAGTCCAATACGAGTTCTTGTAAAACCCATGTGTAGCATAGCATTTTGAAGCGAATAAGCTTCATCACGACGGAACTAATTGATAACTTCTATTTGAGGATCGAGTGGATTCCTGGAAAAAAAGTATTGACCACCAAAATCAACTAGTTTGTCATCAGGTGCTAAGGGCGAATAACGATTAAGATCCAAGAAACGTTCGATATATCTGGATCATACACATCATACTGACAGATGTACTTCCAAGGTAGTCCTGTTCGAATTGTAGTAATAAATGATCCGAGGAATTCTTTGCCACGAGTTACTGAAACTCAAGTGCCGCAGCCCACAGTACATTAAAAAAAATAAAAGCCTCTGCTATTTTGGGAATTATTCGTAAGTTTATCTTTAAAAATTAGTTTTTAACAGCCTCTTTTTACGCCCCTGCTACTATCTGGTTCGTGGCGTATACTTCGCTAAAGAGTTTAATCGTAGACAATTAACGCACAGAGAAACCTTGACTGTGCCATGTTCTGTTGTAAAGCATGCGGAAAGCAGCTAGAGCATGAAAGAGGTTTAGGGAGAAACACGAGACGTTGTCGAGTGTTTCTTCTCACTTGTTGAATGAAAATCGAAGTGATATTAAGTCTTTATTTTACGAGGCAACATACGATTACTTCTTTATAAAACAGAGGGCAAAATTATTTTTTATTAAGAGGGTCAAAAACGCACGCTGTCGCGCAATTTTGTAGGATGCCATTTCAGTGTTCATTTTGCGTCAATGAACTGAAAACACACACGAATTAGCTGAGTGAGATTCTATTTTTGTAAAACAACACCAATGCAATGAAACCAGGCCTGCCTAAAAACATTCCCCATCGATGAAATTACAATTCTTTCGGAAAAGTTATGCCGTTTTCAAAGTGTTTTTCACTTTGAAAAGTTACTCTGAAGGTTTTTAAAAGTTACCCAGAGTCGAGAGGACGCTTAGTTTCGGTGATCTATTGAAAGTGACTTTGCAGTGGCTGAAGTAGTGCAATGGGGGGCTTGAACTACATGAAGCAGGAAATTTAAGCGAATTTTGAGGTTACCGCTGACTCATAGCACATTTTTGGCTTGTTAGTGATTGGTAAAATTATTTGTTGTCCTCGCTTGTTTCCGAGTCGTTGTCGTCGAGACTTATGGTTGATATGGGACCTGTGTTTTTCTATTTTCAGGCTATGGGTCACCGAAAATTTTCGGCTTAATTCTTCCTCACTAGCACTATGGTTGGTCATCTGCTTGGTCAAAGATCTTTGAAGGGTGAGTTCTCTTTCATTTTCTTCATTATCTTGTCAATGGTGTGTTTTTGCCGATTGGTGTTTTCTTGTAGCGGCATAAAATTGTGACAGAATTTGGTCTTATTCATTGGATACATTACGGCTTGAAATATCTAGTAACACACAGTTCGAAATACCGAGATGGCGATCAACATTTTCCCGTTAGATGATCTTGAGTAGTTATTTATTTTAACTATTTTAATGTCAATTGATACAATTCTCTCAGACATTCATTTGGTACATTACAGCTTAAGATTGTCAGCGATGAGGTCCGTGAAGAAATCCGAGGTGAATATTTTCAAATTTATTCGCATAAGAAAGTTTTGCCAAAAAAAACACACACACAAAAACCAGCACTATGTGAAAGAGAGTTTTCTCCATAAAATAAAATTAATGTGAAAAAATGAAAATGAAAATGGACAGGGTGAATAGTATAACAATTGTGAATAGTCTGACCAATGACGATGACTTACACTCTAGTGTTAGAAGACACACCAAAGCAAAAGGCCTCGGGCTCGATTGTTTTTATAGGATTATCGGATAGTGTTCTAAAATTAAAAGATAAATTTATAAAAATGATGTCATTGTCATTGTCATCATCGTCATCATCTTCGTTATCATGATCGTCATTGTCATCACTATGGTCGTAACTCTTATTGTAATCACCGTCACCGTTATTATCGCCATAGCCACCGTTTTTGTCTTCCTAATTATTATTGCCATCATGAGAGGCTGCTTTTTGTGGAACACCTGCTTGGCCAGGTTACTGAGCTTTTCTCGAAATTGAAGGGGTTTTGGTCGCGTTTTAAGCACATTTACCGCCCCCTGGTTGGTTAAGGTAGTAGAGTGCTGGAATGTCGAAAGAGAGGTCGAGGGTTCAAGTCCCAGATCGGACCAACACTCAGGGTCTTCAAATAACTGAGAAGAATCTTCTGCCTTAACAATGACATCTGCAAATGGTTAGTCTTCTCGGAGAAGGACGGAAAACCTCTCCTACAGGGTCCCGTCTCTTACATTTTCTCTGTATTGGTTAGCACTTAAAAAACCAACGCACTTCTCGCAAGGAGTTGTGGTTTGGCCTTGATTCCGAAATTGGGGACAATTGCAAAAATTTTCCTCAAAATTGTACATTGCTCGATGCAGTCTGCCCAAAGACCCTCGCATAGTGTTGTAAATTTATTCAGATCACCCTATTAGGAGGGCAGTTAACAAAAACTACTGTATTGGATACATTTTAGGAAACTTTTCAAACAGTTTGGTTTCTTTTTCGCCATCATCAGCGAGTAGTCGGTAAATAGTTTTTTAGGCATAAGTATTTTACGGCAGAAGTGACGCATGCACTCCAGAACAACATTAATTATTACTATATGTTAAAATTTATCAAATATGAAGCGCATTATGTCAGCCAAAAGAAACCTCACCATACTCTCCTGGTCAATTTTCTCCAAACTGGTGGATTCGTGTATACTCACATTATCTTTAGTCGTTTCAAGGCAAAGAACAGTCTGTACGGAATGCATTCTAAATTGTTCCTATGGAGGAATCTAACAAAAAAACATAAAGAAAAAAATAATTGAGTGTCAGTTTCTGCAGTAGTGGAATAGAAATGTGGGTCAATTGATAATGAAGAAACTTGCTGCTGGAGTTGGCCAACCATAAAAGTTGCTTGTTTTTCCCTTTTTAAGTCCCAGAGTTTTAAGGTGCGGGTGCCATTTGGGTCTCTGAAGCTCGAGAAATCAGGTAATTTATGTGGTGAGTCCAGCATTGGATAAAGAATCGAATTCGACGTACAGGTTTTCAAGCCTGTCTAGCTTGCCAAAGAAACCTTCCGGAACAAAGGCGATAGCGTTTGAAGAAAAGTCCCTGTGGGAACAAACGAATTACCTCACGAAATTGAAAGTGATGTTTCATAATCGTGGCTATCGAAAAAGGGAAAATACCTTTTTGGTAGGAAACTATACTATTTTGTATTCGATTCCAAGGGTATCGAATTTTTTTTTAATTACATGAAACGATCAGGGCTGAGGTGTACCAACATAATTAAGTCAGCTTGGAGAGAAAATTTCCTGAGTAAAATTTCTGTTTCATAGTATGTTCAGAAATTTTGTAGGGTAAGCCAGGGCTTATCAAATTTTACTTACAGGTACTCAAGCCTCGTCTGCCTACTAAGCAATCCTACTGGAAGAGAGGTGATAACGTTTGAAGACAAATCCCTGCGGAAAGATCGAGTAATTCAACCGGGCGAATGATGAATGCTTCCTAGTCATAAAGATTGGGGAAAATATGGAAGAAAAGAACATTTAAGCTTAGACTGTTAACTAAGAAAGAAGTGAGAGGTCCGAATGAAACAACGAACAACAGAACTGAAGAAATGTTTGTATCTCTGATATCTCTCCTTAATGGTACAGCAAGGTAAAACTACAGTTTTCATTTTTAGAAATGCTTCAAGTTACCTTCAGCATTTTGGCTGATGAGATTCGCTTTGGTTAATAAAGAAAGAGTTTCTTTGGTAGGAAGGCAATTCAAATTTTCTCGAAAGAAGGAAGTATCTAAAACTTATTAGAGGAAATAAGTAATTGAATGTAAACAATTGTCATATTTAGATTTAGCAATCAGTCTAAATAATGGTTTACAGAGAACATTTTATAATGAAAAGTAAGTACGTTTCAAAATACGCACAGGTAAATTAGGTTGGTTAGATTAGCAAACGCCGTTTCCTTTAGAGAAGTAATTTTGTTTGAAGACAAATACCTAATCTAACATCTAACTTAGCAAGAATGAACGAACGTCACGAACGACCATTGTTAATTTGTTTGTCTCCCAAGTTTTCGTTCGTACTTCCTTCCTTGTAAATCAGTCAGACTGGAAAATCGATTGTATTACGATGTCATATTTTGTGCATTTTTCTCAACCTTTTTCACTAAAATAACAGGAATATAAAGTCTGGACCTAACTACCACAATGTGCAAGATGTAAAGAAGCCGACACGCCAAAGTAAATGGACACAACTTAAGAACATTCGAAGTTTTTCTGCATCTAGTCCCGACATAAACGTTGGATAGGGCATGAGGAGAACATTTCTACTGTTCATACTACACACATGATTTTTGGTATCTACGCTTGTTAACTGGGTATATTGAATTCCCTCACAGATGCTGAATCTTGATCCGCCTCAGGGACAATCCATCATGAAGTGAGGTAATAACATTTGAAGAAGAATACCTGTGTAAAAAATCAACTACTTTAGCCAAAGGAAAAAGTAATACTCTGTTATTATCAGGACTCTATAGAGGAGACAGATAATAACAATAGAGCGTGTAATTAATAGGGTAATCAAGAAGCCTGATATTCTAACTGAAAAGTAAAAAAGAAAGGGAAAAATAGCCCTGAAGCAGAACTCATGGTCCTCAGTAATGCGGTGGTTTCATTACCTAGGAATGTTTCAATTTAAAGGTAACACCAAACAATATTTCCCCTGATGAAGGCACTAGACAGGAGTGTCGAAACTTTGGGTCTATGAATTGTAACTTCTTCGGTTACATTCATTAAATCTGCAAACCAGAGTAGCATCAAACTATGTCTGAACATTTCTGCAACTGAGATCATCACTTAAGCTGAATTATCGTTGAAGAAGGTTGTCCCCTAAAAAGCGGACATTGAACGAAAAGGGGGTTCTAAATATCCTCGAACAGGATGAGCTACCAAAGCCTGATATAACAGCGGAAATGAAAAGATCCCTTGAAAAACTTTAACAAAACGACTCT